CAGGGTGCCAAAGTTAGCACCTTTAGCATACTTTTTTTTTCACATTCTGGTTGGAAATTTCATAAATGACTTTGATGCAGAGATGGAGTCTATTCTTATATCAACTGAACAACTTTTTATACAATAAAACTTTAAAAAGCTGTGATCTTTTCTGATTCTGTTTCTGCACTACAGACTCTTTCTTCTATTAAAGAAGTTCAGAACCCCGCATCTTAAGATGCAGGACTTTGCTTGAGAATTTTTCTAACAGATCCTAATACTGAATCCCCTCCCACTGTGGTATTTTGAGGGCTGATTTTCTTTCCAGGAAGGGATCTTCTGTTCTTCAGAAACCCCTTGTGAAATTGTGATTAGATTCAGCTAAATTGGAAATAGCTAGGATTTCGAGATGCTTTCTTCATGATTCAGCTTTGCATCTTTCAAATGGCAGACCTTGGAATGTACTCTTTTCTAGACTACAACTTGTTCCTGACTCACCTCTGCAGTTACAACTTTTAGAATGCTAACTGGGCACAATCACCTCTGTGCTCATCTTTTTCAGTTTAACATTGTGTAGTATCCTAGGTGTTCTCTTTGTATGACTGGATAAGATGTGATTGCTTTACATTTGAACAAGTGTCCTGCACTATCTGCTTTTTCTTGTCGAGTGGCATGCTACTCGAGAGCCCGCTGTCTAATGGTCTAGTGGCAAAATGACAAAATTATATCATGTAAAATTAGGAAAAGTCGCATAACTTCAGCAGCCTGATCCCACAAATAAAGACAAGTAATCATATGTGAAACTGTCAAAATGACAGCTGTCAACTTTCAAGTGTTAATGAAATACGTCTTTCAGATACATTATATAATTTTCCAACATTAAATATTTTTTACTTGAAATAAACATACATTTTGCAAAATAGCTTTACTCCAAATAAATTAACATTCCACATAATTTAATATTAACTGTTACGTTTTTCTTTAATTCCTCTTCTGATACCAGTTGTTACGTTATTTTCTTCCTTCACATTCGTACGGGGTTCGTAGATTTGGAGTTAATAATGACGACACTTGATGAAGTATCAAAACACCAATTTGGCCAATGTTAATCAGGACAGCTCCAATAACACTTTTTACAGTCGTCGAAGATCTACTATAAACACGCTGGAACAATCAGCGACACAGCCTTCAGAATGTCAGGCAATAACGGTGGAGATAGCTTCCTGCAAAGCACCCGACTCTGCTTTCCGGAGTACAGCTCCCAACTCTGTTTGGTCGTTCTCGGAACTCCACATACTCTCGAGACTCTCCACGCTACAACTCGTGACTCACTCGACGACACACAGAGCATGCTCCCGACTCTCGGTTTAGTCGTTTCCGGAGCTCAACACTCTCTCGACGATGCACTAACCGCAATACTCTACGAGACTCCTTCGGTGCAGTCGACGACCCACTCGGCACTCGCTACCCGGCTGTCAACTCGATCACCTCCACAGGGATTGACTCGCTAGACAAGACACACTCACTCGATAAGAGACGCACACTTCCTCTCGATGAAGCACACTTGCTGATTGCAGACCAGCACAGTTTATATAGCTTTCGGCTTGTGTTCGGGAACATTCTGGACCAAACCAGTAAGAATTCGTTCCAGAAGGTTCTCCAACCGTCCATGGTATATCGCCAATTTTGTCACCAAATGGACGATTTCTCACCAAATGTGGCAACCTTGCCAATTTTATGGCAACCCTAAAACTGCTTTGCGGGGAAGCCATCTTATCGCACCTGTACATTTCGTAACACTGCCCCTTCCCAAGGACTGCACGTCCCGGGCAGTACAACCCTTGGTCAGAAGCCTAATTCGATACAAACAAAACATAATGAAACAAACATAAGATATAAATAAATAACATAACTAAAGAAACAAACATTTACATTACATACAAACTTTACACTGAAACTAGGTAAGAAAACTCATGTGCAAGAATTATGAGTACCCCTAAAATTGAGAAGCAAATATTTACACTATGTACAAGTTATATACACAAATTAAGCACATCACAATTTCAAATAATACAAATTAAAGTTCTGAATGAATTTCAGGTTCTGTCTTTTCATTAAGTTATACCCGGGTCAAATACTTTTCCACTGCAGTTCTCAGATATATTTATGTTTTGCATCACAGTCTGAAGATTCAGTCCTTTCAGACTTTTCATCCACAGGGAGATGTGAAACAGTTTGTTCACCATTCTGTAGTTCATTCGCAGCATACATAACAGTTCACCTCGGTATTTTTAGCAGCTGGTACATGCACATTTTTCCCCTTTTTCTGAGAACCAGCTCCAAATTCTGCATCAGTCATGAACGGAACCCGATACTTTACAAACACAAGTATCCTTGTCTAAAATCACAATCAAGCAGCCCTTGTCTGCAAAACCTGCACTATGAGACGCACACATAGTTTGCAAAGTGGGTGAATTTTCTTGAAATACTGGAGCACACTGCTGAAGCTGCACATCAACTTCTGTCATCTCTGGATCACATGCATTTTCAGATGGCTCAATATTTGCGAACTGCGACTTCATAACTTCACTATCAGTTTCGACGAACTTAACAATCACATTTTCACTTTCTTCCACTTCAGGCACTTGAGAATCAAAATCTATTTTCCCGTCTTTTTTTTCTTTATGTTTTCATTCTTTATGTTTAATCCCGTTAGTTGTTTCATCTTTCATTTCTTGATCTTCCTCAGACAGTTCATTAGCTGCTTTCTTCATTTCTTCATCATTTGATTCTTCAGAAACCACTTCTCTCATTTCCACATCGTCTTTTATGGTTCTAGTTTCTTCTGTAAGCTCCCCTTTCACCTGTCGGAGTTGCTCTCGCACCTTTTCTTGGCCGACATTTAATTCTTGTTGGGCGTTCTTCTCTTCCAGTGTAGCTTTCATCTCCTTCAGCCCAGCTTTCAACTCAGCCTTGATCTCTTGATATCCGGCTTTCATTTCAGCTCTTATCTCTGGATATCCAGCTTTTATCTCAGCCCTCATCTCGGCTAAGAAGTCCATCAAAGTCTTTGTTTCCTCCGCCATGGTTTTTTTCTTCAGGCATTCACTACCAAATCCCACTTCTGACACCAATTGTTGCATTTTTCTTTAATTCTTCTTCTGATACCAGTTGTTACGTTATTTTCTTCCTTCATGTTCGTATGGGGTTCGTAGATTTGGAGTGAATAATGATGACACTTGATCAAGTATCGAAACACACTTTATTTGGCCAATGTTAATCAGGTCAGCTCCAATAACACTTTTTACAGTCGTCGAAGATCTACTATAAACATGCTGGAACAATCAGCGACACAGCCTTCACACTGTCAGGCAATAACGGTGGAGATAGCTTCCTGCAAAGCACCCTACTCTGCTTTCCGGAGTACAGCTCCCGACTCTGCTTGGTTGTTCTCAGAACTCCACATACTCTCGAGACTCTCCACGCTACAACTCGTGACTCATTCGACAACACACAGAGCATGCTCCCGACTCTCGGTTCAGTCGTTTCCGGAGCTCAACACGCTCTCTCGACGATGCACTAACCACGAGACTCTTTCGGTGCAGTCGACGACCCACTCGGCACTCGCTGCCCTCGATCACCTCCGCAGGGATTGACTCGCTAGACGAGGCACAGTCACTGGATAAGAGACGCACACTTCCTCTCGATGAAGCATACTTGCTGACTGCAGACCAGCATGGTTTATATAGCTATCGGCTTGTGTTCGGGAACATTCTGGACCAAACCGGTAAGAATTCGTTCCAGAAGATTCTCCAACCGTCCATGGTATATTGCCAATTTTGTCGCCAAACAGGCGATTTCTCGCCAAATGTGTGAACCCTGCATTCTCTTGCCATTTTATGTCAACCCTAAAACTGCTTTGTGGGTAAGCCATCTTACCGCGCCTGTACATTTCGTAACATAACTAAATTAAAATTTACATTTGTTTATCCTTTTCATTATCACTTTTCTTAAGTCATACTAATTACTCCATAGATAAGCAAATTAAACGAATATAAAAAAGATATGCAACACAGTTAAAAATATAGTAACAAAAAGTAGCTTGCAGCTGCATTCTACACAGACATGACTACTCAATGTTTTGTGATTATCCAGCAGTTTAGAATTAAGCATGACAAAATAGAGCTAAACATTTTGCTATATTGATTGGTAAGTGAACTGAATCGATCTTTTTCAGCAAAGTTTTTGGTGAGGGTTTGTTCAGTAAGAATTTATCCATTCACAGACATAGAAATAAAAATTAAACAATCTATGCCCAATATAAAGAGTGTGTAAACGAAAAGTCATTAAAATCAATGCAAATCCTTCATAACATCAAAGTATTAAAAAACATTCACATTAATTATCACACAAATATATCTTTTTTTAAAATTCATTCTTTGAATTGCTCCCACAAAACAAAAAAACTTTTGCACCACATATGAAACTCACTCCAATTCTTTGTCTTAAGGTAATCATCTCAAACTGGATTTCCCACATGCGTTCTTTTGGGCAGTTTACCCTCCCCCCCCAAAAAAAGAATTGATTGATACAAGGCATTAAGCCAGATATTTAGGAAATTTGGTCATTATACTGAATAAGCTCAAAAATCTTTATAATCTAGCTGCAATTTTCAGCATACTCTGCTTTAAAAGTGGATCATTTTGCAAATTTGTTTGTTTCTCATGATTATGGTTCCTCTTGTCTGTCTTTTGATATAGCTTACAGTATCTACGTATCTACACACTTGTCAAGCACTAGTTTTAAATTGGACAAGGACTAAGTTCAACAGCAACACTGTAATTATTTCATTGTTTCAGTAAATATTCTGTAAAGAAAAACATTCTGGTTTTCTATTAAATGCAGCAATGCATATAAGACAATATCCCGCAATATATAAGACTAGCAATATTCTGATGTTTTTTGCTTACTATAACATCACTGAAAGAAACAGAACAGCAAATTAAATACTCAACAAAAAATGTAGCTGACAGCTAACAAAATTTTTTAATGTTAATGAAAACAGTAGACGTCACATTTTACAAGCAATAATAAATTACCAGTTGCTGCAGAGGGAAAGTGACGAATATAAGTTGTTCAGTTCTTGAGACAATTTTTCTGCTTCCTCTTGAGCTGCTTCTTTAGCAAGAACTGCATGATTCAAGTCACTTTTATACACTTCAACCTTTTCAAATAAAAAAAAGAGAGAAAAAAACATTTTGAACAATAGCATCTTATTTAGTATATCTATGATTACTTAAAACATAGTGGCCATCAATCCGTTCTAGATCCTTGGACATATACCAAATTAACTTTTCAAATAATAAATACAGGGAAAATAATTAATCTGTTCTTTAAAAAAAATCCTATTGTTATTATTATAACACTGTTTAATACTAAAATACAAATGCAGTGGGTGAAATTTATAGTGTACATGTGCAGTGCTTCATTTGAGTACTACCCATGATACTGTACATAAATGATTTTCTGCTACCCAGATCAAAAGCAATTATCCAATATAAAAATCTCTGATCTCTGTTTGGTAACTAATTTCACCCTTTTTGCAGTGTTGGCCAATTTAATATCATCTTTGTTATTTCACAATCGTAGACACCATCGACTCAGCATACGGTACGCAATAGCTAAGTCACAGACATGCATGCCATCTATATACCAGGGTTCATACACATTTCTGCACACAGAAATTAAGTACTTTTAAGGACCATTAATGAAGAAAATTAAGGACCTATTAGCAAATTGGAATTGAATAAATTCAATTAAAAATATTATTCTATGCCTGAATTTCACTTTTGTAATACCATCCTAAAAAAAAAAAAAATGGATCCCTAAGTAGTATGCATTATTACTAAACATGAATTAATTAACGTAATTATTAATAAGTTAGAGAATAAAATAAACTTTATGTAATTTATCAAATAGCATTAAATATTTTACACTTATAATAGTTGGACATATTTGAAAGAAGATAGTAACATTTATGTTTTACTAATAGTTACCTTTATATCTCATTTTGTCACATACTTGGTCAGTCTAGAGGTTTAGTAAATAGTAGGTATTAGATTTTATGCCAAGCGGCATAGATTAAAATGAGAAGTAAGATCATAATCAGCATGATTCATAACAAAAGACTGAATCTTGGCACCGCTGCTGATTGTCCACAGAGAGACATGCTGATTCGAACAAACCTGAAAGGCTAATGTAGGCATGGTTGGCAAGTGCTGAAATTTAGTCGAGCTCTGTTTGATGTAGTTAGTGTCATAGCTTTGTGTAGAGTTCCAGAGGTTGTAACCCAGTTAATATACTTTAAGGTCCCAATAAGCCATTAAAGCACCAGAGGTGATAAGTTGTTTTGCATAATTTTAAGTCTCACTAGATGCAAAGAATAAGTTTTACTTGAATTTTTACATTTTTGTGTTTTATCTTGTGACCACAGTGAGTATTAATGAAAGGCAATAACTCTCTCATGTAGAGATATGTAGAGATAATTTTAAGGGTAAGCAGTTCATTATAAATGATTAAATTAGGTAATTATGGTCTTAGGTAACCTTAGTCATTATGGATTTACATGGCCACTATTAAATTTTATTTTTTAAGAATATTCGTTAAAAAAAGCCCTATTAAAATCACAGTCTAATAGAATTTCACAGTTTAAAATACATGTAATTTATGACATTGATTCTTTAAGGATATTAGGATAATTACACATTAAAAGCTAAAAATCATTTATGTATTGTAACAACAACACTCAACAAAATATTTATCCATCATTTTAATTTAAAACCTTCCCAAACATTTTGGCTAGTTTATATCGATTTCCTTCTCTTTAAGCATTTTTTCTAACAATGCTACAATATCAGACAAAGATTTAAATAAGCCTCTTATTTAAAGCGAACTTAGAACATAAAGGCATGGTCTGATGCTAACAAAATTATTACAGCTCACGGTGCCATAATTAAACAAAATCAGACAAATTCAAACAAAAAATATGAACTAGTGGTCAAAGATCATACAATTTAATTTTAATTTAATCTGGCTCAGTAACGCTATCATATGAGGAAATAGAAATGGGAAATTATAGTAAAGGCTGAAATCATAAACAATTAGATAATTTACATAATAATAACTGCACATATCTTTGAAGAATAATTTTCTTTATATATTCAGTTTATTCTTCAGCACGTTTCCTTTTCATTTTAGAATTTTTGGATTTAATTATGGATTTCTGTTATTCTAAAAAATACTAAATGCATTTAGAATGTATAGAATAAGTGGCTAATTTTATTTCTTTAGTAATATGAATATTCAGAAGAAAAAGAAAAGAAATATGAAATATATATGGTAAAGGCCAGTTACAGAGCTGGTGTGGCACAATTTTTAGAATTTATTGACAAACGGAACAACAAAATCTATAAATGGCAAAACTTTTAGAATTTAGAGCAGGCATTGGAAGCAGAATTTAAAAATGCACTAGACAGCATAATTTAAAATCCACAGAGATTGCATCATGTGGGAAAATGCCTAGTGCCCGCTCTGTATATGATGCATTAAGACATATTAGATGAATCTTTTAAATTGTAAGTTTTCAATTTCTTTATTAATAAAAATATTCCTCTCTATAAAAATACCTGCCCAAGTGATAAGATTAGAAACATTTTTGATATTTTCCATGCTTGTGTCTAGTGAAAAGTAGAGATAATAATGGGAAGATAAACATGTTAAGAAAATGATTCTAGTATCAGGAGTAAAACATTCAAATATTATGTTTTCATTGTTCTTCCAGACATTCTCCAAAAAGTAAGAAATTCATATCAAATTTTCTGTAAAATACATCCATTACGTGTTGATACCATCGAGATATTTTTCATTTTGTCACATATTTCTCGAATCTTCTAGAATCGAAGGGTCTATAAATCTTGCCTTCAAATCCTTCTAAACTTTCCAAGCTGCAATGTCTAAAATCCTAAAGAAAAATTATCCCTACCAATTCTGTAACAGCAAAGTCAAAAAAAAAAAAAAAAAAAAAAAAAAAAAAAAAAAAAAAAAAAAAAAAAAAAAAAAAAAACAAAAAAAATAAAAAAAAAAAAAAAAAAAAAAAAAAAAAAAGGGAAAAAAAAAAAAAAAAAAAAAAAAAAAAAAAAAAAAAAAAAAAAAAAAAAAAAAAAAAAAAAAAACAAAAAAAAAAAAAAAAAAAAAAAAAAAAAAAAAAAAAAAAAAAAAAAAAAAGAAAAAAAAAAAAAAAAAAAAAAAAAAAAAAAAAAAAAAAAAAAAAAAAAAAAAAAGGAGGAAAAAAGTGTAAAATTAATTTTATAGAGAACACTGATGCATTATCTGAGAATTTTGAATATTCTGAGAAATTACATGGGAAAAATGCTTACTATGAAAAAAATTAAAAAGAAGACATTTTTAATATTAAATACATAGCTAATTTTGCTTTTGCTAAGAGCTGTTTCGTAAATTATGCTTTATAGCATTATACCTTATTATTTTTAGTGGTGGTACTAAAGGTATTATTTATTTATTTTTTAGATTCAAAATATTGCATAATAAGTTGCCAAAATGAAACTTTACAATATGACAGCAAAAAAATAAAAATGTTTTATTTTTATGTTATTTTTTAAATATAATTTCAATATGTTACCATTATTTTAATGAAATTTATCAATATTATGATGTTTTAAAAAATTCATCGAAAAATTTTCAGATCTCGGAATTAAAAATGTTCTATAGAAACTGATCTTAAAATCACCGAAATGTTGACAAGTCGCCAAGTTTAGAACCATTTAATAAAAGAATTCACATCCCCAAAAGCGAAAACTTGTTTAAGAGCTCTTTATTAGAAAAAATGAATTTCGAAATACTTATGTTTCACTTCTTGCTTAGAAACTCGAGTATCCCATCATTTATATTAGAAATAGAAACAAATTATAACCCATGAACACATTCAAAAGATAACCATACATGTCAGTGAATCGATAAAAATATTCCTCCAAACTGCTAATTCACACTCAAAATGGCAGTCGTAAAAAAAGACAGAAATTTCAGATGATTAAAGTTAAGGACCTTCTGCTGACTTTGGCCTAAATTAAGGACTTTTAAGGACCAAAAATCGATTCCAAAAAATTTAAGGACTTTTAAGGACTCAAGGATCGTACGAACCCTGACATACTTTTCAACAATCTCATTTTTTCTTCTCTGTGGTGATCGTAAAAATTTTCTTTGTTGTTTGACTCTAAACTTTTTTAAAATTCAATAAATTAAAAAAAAAATTATGTGAAAAAAATTTAAAGCCACATGAAAATTCAGAGTTATAGCATTGGTTGTTGACTACATAATAGTAACAGGCATACTGATGCTTGTGGGCAGCCCTAGCATTGTCTCAAAAGATGTACACAAGTGTAGCTTGTGCAGTCAAGATTCACCAACTCGACTCACATTAGAAACAAACATTTTCATATGCAAACAGGATGTATATTAAGTTGGACATATACCGAGATACACTCTACACGTAAAAACAAAAAGAAATTTTTTTTTTTTTTAAATATCCATCCCTGATATAGAAATAATTTGAGAATTTAAAAGCAAATGAAGATTCCTGCTTCTATCATACATAGTGATATCAAAAGGTTTTGAAGCTAATTCTATAACATGCCAACAGAGGCTGCATGCACAGGCAGCACTGACCTTCATAAGTCAATGTGCCAAGAGACATTGTCCTATGTACGTAGCGTGTTTTTCAAGTAAGGGTTATTTTGTTGTATACACTTATATGTATTGTGCAACAGCAACAAGTGCTTGTGTCATGTCCAGGCATTCCTTGGAAACTAATGCGCTCAGTTTCAGCAGTGTAGCTAACCTGTATGATCTGTTCTGTGTCTTTAAAATATTCAAGATTATCGATTTGCCCACCCCGTGCGAGATGCGGTCAGTGATACATTTTTGTTGGTAAGAGTCCTGTCTACTGCAGACATTTACTGGCAGATTTGTGAAGTTTACTGCCATGAGTTGAGGCAAAGTCCATAAGTGGGTCAGAGACTTTAAAAGCTGGTTATGAAAACGTCCATGATAAGTCACGCTCTGGTTGATCATCTGTGATCACAGATGATATGGTGGCTTAAGTTGAAGCAAAAATTCTTGAGAACAGATGCTTCACCATAAGTACTCTTTCAAATAAATTTCCTGAAGTGTCTAGTCTAGGACGCGAAAACAGCTGTGACCTCTTGGTTATCGAAGCAGTCAGCAAGTTTCTATGAAGAGGGTATTCAAAATCTAGTTCTTGTGTTTAAACAAGCTTGGCAACTATGTTGAAAAATAGAAAAATGTATGTAGAATCTGAAAATTTAGTTTTTGAAATTTTTCTGTCGTTTGGTTTTTATTTTCAAACACCCTTACTTAAAAGCACCCCTCTTACATAGAAAGCTGTGCGACTGGTAATAATCTGACCATATGCATTACCGCCTCTGTGATTTCATCATGAACAGGAAGTTAGAATAATGAGCAAAAGTAAAATTCTGTGTGAAACTGAGCAAATCTGCCAACAGATTTAGCGAATGTATAACAATGCTGCAATGTTTTGTTTGATAATTCTGAGTGGCAAGTGCAAAGGGCATAAGAACATCACTGAAAGACAATGAGAGATCAAAACGACCTCCAATAAGCACAACACCCAAAAATGTCAAAAAGAATTCAGCAATGTGTGCATATGGATTGGAGAACAATCTACAACATCCCTGCCATTGTTGTTGGAGTGTTAAACAAAACAATACAAGCAAATCCTAATGTGCGATTTGAACATGCACCATGTTTTTGCCAAGTTCATTTCTAGGCTGCTGACCCAGGAGCAGAAGGAACATCGCTTCAAAGTCTGCCAAAAACTTCATTCAGTGTGCCATGGATGACCCATCCTTCATGATGAGGATCATTACCAGTGATGAAACTTGAGTGAATAGGTACAACTCTTAGACAATGGAACACAGTGAAGAGTCCATCATTTCCATGGCCGTAAACAGTGAGGCAGGTCCGTAGCTTGACCAAGTGCATGCTCATTGTCTTTTTCGATATTTGCAGCACTGTGCATCACAACTTTGTCTCCAGGGGTCAGACAGTAGCTCTGCAACTGGGTTTTAAGGCATCTGAGGAAGGACATTTGGTGAAAGCAGCAGATCTGTGGCACGCAAAAAACTGGCTGCTCCACAAAAACAATGCACCATGTCACTTTGATCTTCTCACAGGCAAGTTTCTTACCAGATACAAAATGATTGAACTTCACCTAATCTACTTGCCAGATTTGGCTCCTATGGAATTTGCCATTTTCCCAAAGCTGAAAATTCAACTCAGAGGTAGCCATTTTGACACCACTGCGGAGACAGAGAGCAAATCCCAGAAGGTGTGCAACACACTTCAGAAAGACTTCCAGGACACATTCCAGTAGTGGCAAAAATGCTTGGATCACTGTATTGCTATCCAAGGAGAGTATTTTGAAGGTGACAGAGTGTAAACATACTAGCACTTTCCAAATACTTTCTCGTAAACCGATATAGCCTTGAAACGTTTTGATACCACCTCGTATATTAGCAACTACTTTAATTAACTGCTTTTTGTAGTAAAAATTTGACACATTTTAATTAACTTTATTTATAAATTTATTCTATAGCTTTTCTTATTAAAGCTGTACATCTCAAACATTCAGAGAAGTTTCATTTTCTTATGCCACTAGATTTGCCCACTGCCTTCTTTTTATTTTTCTTAAGCTTTTAGCTTGCACCGTCTTGTCTTTGATTTTTCAACATTTATCCATATTTCCAACTTTTTATAAGCATAGCGTATCCCCCCTTTTTAACTAATTTTATCACTCAAAAATAGAGAGAGGAAAATTAAAGGAGTAATTTGATTTCTGAAGAAGGTAGTTACAACAAGAGTTTAACAAATGAAAAGTAGTCATGGATAATCTATTCGTAACTATCACAAATATTATTTCTTTAAAAGAAACTAACATTCCAATACACAATACTACTGACGTTATAATAGCCGATGGTGATTCAGCTGGTCATTTAGCATCCCAGCTCATTTACCATTTACAGACCCATGAGTTTACATGAATGAGTCTTGACCACAGTTCCCAAGAAGAACTTTGAAGGAATGAAGAAAAAAAGGGGACAATAAAAGACTCGGATTTCAGAAGATCGAATAAATTAGAAGTAGATAAGGTTGCAATGAGCTGGAATGTAAATAACAGAAGTAAGATAAAATCACCATTTTGAAACCTTCTTAAGTGTGAGAACACCTACTGCATTGTTGCAGCTTTATGAAGAATCTGCCAAAATACTTCAAAAGTTTCTCAAGGGTGAGAACACCTGCTAAGTCCAGGTAGCTTAATAAAGAATCTGCAGAAAACATATTTAAAATCACAAATGTACAAATTGAATACACTGAATAAAAATAATCAAAGGAATAAAATTTACCAAAAAAACTAGCCCTCGGAGAGAAAAACTACTTTTTAGTGCTGAAACTTATTAGTGCTAGTTTGCACTAAAAAGTTAGGAGGAGAATACATGATGAAATACCGTATTTTATAGTTTGGTAGAAATACATGCGATTTTTTTTTTATTATTATTTTTATTTCACTTGCTTTCAAATATGTCCAGATTATTGTGACTGAAGTCAGCATATGTCCAGATTATTGTGACTGAAGTCAGCCAAAAAAGGCTCAAATGCAAATTAGAATTATAAATATGTAAATTTTGCCCGTTGCTTCAAAATCAAATTGAATTTTGAATTATTGAAGTACACATACATAACTAAATTAGTGCAACAATTATTTTATAATTTCAAGTGTATGTTCACACATTCTTAGCATTAAAACTGACAATGAAGAGAAGTAGCAGGCTAAATCCTAGTTAAACTGAAGGAAAAGCATGAGAACATCAAAATTATTTTATTGATATTAGATTAAGAACAGTGAATTAACTGAACTTTTCAGAAGATGGATTGCTTTAATAGTATCAGTTTAGTTTAAAAGTTTTTATTTAATTATAACAATATAAAAAATTTTACTTTCGCTTTTGCTCTTATGCAAGTATCATAATAGATTGGCAGAAATTAATTCTGAGATGACACAGTTGTTATATGCAGTTTACTATTTTAGAACAGAAAGGGAAAATAATCTAAAAAGGAGATATTAGGAGCTATTTTAAATCAGAAATGTAATTTTATCTTACTATGTGTCAAAGTTTTATCTTATAGACATACACATTTTTAAATCTGATTTACAACCTGTAAATACTAGTTCATATATTTTTTTCATAAACTGGCACACTGGACACAAAGAAGATGCTATCTAATCAAAAATCCAGTGTACCTTAAATAATTACCTTAAATAATACCTTAAATAATTTTTGATTCATTTCATTTCAAGGCAATTGCTTAAGTTTTATTTACAGAATACAAGGTGAGGAACTGATAGTTTATAAATTTCAGTACACTATTCTGACACAAAGTGGATTACTACCAGGAAGGAGAAATACATACTTGTGATTTTAAAATTGGAATAATTTCTCCATCTTTTTTGATTATATTAAGCTCAGATGCTAATTCTTTAACTTTTTGTTTTTGCTCCTCAAGCTTCTGTTGAGTGTCAAATAGCTGAGCAGTAAGATTATCCATTTCTTCCAAATGCCTTTTATTTTCAGCTTCTCTCATTGTAACAAAATTTTCACTCTGTAAAGATAAGAATATTTTATAATATGCAACAATATTTTTAAAGCATAAGGAAGAGGAAGGATTTAAAAAAAAATCTAAAATACTTAATGCTTTGGTTATTAAAAGCAGCCACAGCATGTTATGAATACAGAAATCTGCAGTTTATAAATTATATAGAAAAATATTGCAGTTAATTTCCAATAATTCTATCGAAAGTCCATGGAAAATTTTAATTCCCGACCTCCCTCCAAGAAATTCCTTATTCAGTATGCACCAGGTTAATAACAACCTCAAATATAGCAATACATAATATTATAATAATTTAATAATGAAAAAAGAAAGCTGTTAAAAATGATTTTGTGCATGTAATCATATCCACAATACAGTTATGTCTCTTAAACCCTCTCAGAGCTGCATGCATTTAAAAAGCACTGGTTATTTTAAGTAAGTACAGTAAAGCTTACTAAATAGCAGCACTAGACCCCTTCTTTGAATAGCAAGTGAATTGTTTCATCCAAGTATTTTGAGCTTGAGCAAAGTAAAGATCTCAGAACAATTTTTTAGTGTTTATATATATAAAAGCTAATTAATTTATCCCTCTTAAACATGTAAAACATATTTGGATTTTTAAACATAAGTAAATGTCATAAAAAATAACTTATGTGGGCTCAAAAAAACCTATTGGGCTTCTAGAAATACTATGGCTCATAAAATCATTTATGAAACCTCTTTTGATGGAAGGCTGTAAAATTTCTTTTGATTAAAAGAAGAATACATGAAAGACACACATTATAAAGTAGCATGATTACAAAATGAAGTGAAGAAAATGATATCCTGCATACAAAAGTATATTTAGCATGAAATAGCAGTGAGTTTTGGAAGATGCATTTAATAACATGCACATCAGATAATTTTTTGTACTGCAATCGTTTAGAATATGCAGGCCAATAAAATCGCTGGCCCAATTTTTTTACCTAACATCAACAGATTGCTTCTTCTAGGGCTACTTTATCAATAAGGTTTATATTTATGAGATATTTTTTTTAAATTAACAATTTGAAATCAGCACTAACATTCTTGTTGAACTGTGCAGCAAGCCATCCAAATACATCACCTGCAAATGTGCATGGGTCAAACTTGAAGGACTTGATCGACTGTGGGTGAAGAGTCGAATATTTACACTGCGAAAAAAGAGGGTGGGACATTCTATATCTCCCATTTCCAGGGGGCAGATTGACAAAATTAAAACTGCATTTTTCATGTCTCAAAAGTGTTGCTTTGGATATATATTAGATTTATAGATGGATTGTTCCAATGCAGGTATTTTAACACAAAATCACACTTCTGAAATAACATACCATTTTTTTCCATATTTCAATTCTACAACTCAAATTATGCCTAGATATTAAATTCTGTAATTTTTGGTGAGAAATTTATAGAGAAATTGTAAAATTTATCTCAGGGCATTTTTTTTCAATTTGTACCAAGAATAGTTCATTTGACAAACTTCTTAATTTATAGCAACTTATTTTCCTTTCCTCATTTTCATTATACATGAGCGAGAAAAAAGTCATCATTCATATACTTTCAAATAATTTTTACAAAGTGTATAAACCACATTTGACGTTATTATCACTTAATAACAAATACTGAAATTTCAAAATGCACCTATATGTAAATTCATGCATATCTTAGAAAGTTTTGAATAAAAATCTCTTTTGCAGCTAAGCCTAGAATTACCTCTACGTTAAGGTGATGGTAAAAGTTTTATAGATTATAATTTAAAATTTTTTTGAAAAATTTATAAAAATGACTAAAAAATACAAATTTTAACCCCTGACGCAAGTAATAAAAAAGATGCAAGTATAATAAAAAGGATGTATAATAAAAAAGATAATAAGAAAGATCTCAAAAAATGGAGTTTTGTTCAATTTATTTTTAGACCAGTAAAGTGTAATATTAGGTTTCAGTGTTATACCTCATAAAAACAGTACACCTAAGAAAACATATTTCCTCGGAATTGGTTGGATGCCACGATTTTGTTCTTAATTTTTCTTAACAGGATGTTGGTTCATGCTCTGCAAAATGGTTAGCTTCAGTAAATATGAAGCACAAGCAGTTCATCAAAAAATAATTCAGTATTTTGGAAGGGCATATATATATATATGCTCGAGGCAGTTAAGGGGTTAAAAATAAATCAGAAAAGTAACTGTGAATATTTGGATTGCCAGACTGTGAAAGAAGGAATCAAGTATGTTTAATAAAAAAAATAGATATTAATAAACATACAAAAAATTCATTTAACATTCAGGAGCAAATACTTTGAGAGCTAATTTTTAAAAAAACTACTCACGCAATTTTTACAAAACCTGGCACATAGGCATAATTTGAGTCATAGAATCAAAATATGGGGGGAAAAAAAATCTGTATGCCATTTCAGTAAAAGTCCAATTTTACGTCAAAATACCTATGTTAGAACAATACTATATAAAAATCTAATATATATCCTAAGTTGTGCTTTTGAGACATGAACAAGGCAAGTTAAATTTTGTCGATCGGCCCAATAGAACTATCCCATTATTTTTTTTTGCAAAGTGTACATCTGAAATCTCTCTCTCTATTTTTTAATGAGTTACATTTTCCAGCAATTTTTTCAATCATATGGTAGGGACCACTGGGTTTTTTGGAGCAGGAAGCATGAAAATTCTATTGTGCCCTTTCCAGTTGAAATACAGAAATTTTGCCAGGTTGACATGATAACCATGTACATTAAAAGAGGTTGCATGGGAGGAATGCAGAAAGGCTTCAGTTCTTTCCGACTTAAAAGATAAATGGGGAGAGGCAAAGACCCAGTTGGCAAATCAGGTGAGAAATTATCACACACGCGCATTCAAGCATCACTCAGGGTTGCCACTCAAACAGGAGAATGAAATTCCCTGACTTTTCCAGGTTTTCCAGGTGTGTTTCAAGAAAATTCCAGTCTATCCGCGTAATGTACGTTGGCTGTGCTAAGAGGTAAATTAATTATGGTATTACTTGTATTGTGTAGCAAATTCACTTAATTATTCAGTAAGTCCCAGAGGACATTTATTTTTAATTATTCTTGGTATACTTTGTTTGATAATTTTGTTTAGTTTTCCACTTAAGAAACTTAATAAAATTTAAGATATATACATTGGATAACAAATGTATGTTTTATTTAATTATTACTCATGATCATCCCCAGTTCAACATGAGGCTAATCCGGGTCCTTATAAATCACAACACAATGCTAAATAGTTAGGTTAGATTTAGGTAAATTTAAATTTAATTTGTGTGAGGTATGTTCTTAAAAGGCACCTCAACACTTGAAAACACAAATATAATTATAATAGTGTTGTTTTCTCCACTGAAGATTGAGATTAGAATCTTCCCAATCTGGAATAAAATAAGGCTTTTTTTGCAGACATTCTGCAGCTAAACGAAAGAAAGAAATCTATTTTAATAAATTGAGGTATTTTATATTTATTTCACAGCATACATAAGGAAAAAATATGTGCATTAAATTTTGTGATGGTATGTCATCATACTGCTAGAATTCATTTCAGGATTATGACAGAGAAAATTTCCTGAAATTTGGAAAGTATTAATTTACTAATAATAAATAAATTTAGAGGGAAGAAGAAACATTAAATTGATACGAATAACATAAAATAAAGATAATTACTTAAAAATTGTATTAGAATAATCAACAATATTTTAGCGAATATAGTTATATTAAATGGTTAGGCTAGATGACTGATTACTATTTTTCTATTTACTGCAAAATGGCAAGGTATATTATTAAAAAGAAAAAAAAAAAAAAAAAAAAAAAGGTTTAAAAAGATTCTAGTATACGGTAAGGCTTTTGCACGATTTTGAAAATTGTCGGCAACACCAAAACGACCCGTTTACCGCTCATTATAATGACACCAAATCTTGTGTGTACCGTACCTGGAGGTTAGAATAGCCAATATCCCATGGAGGTTATTCTAACCAAAGAATGTCTAATGTAAAGAAGAAGAAAAGGTTCCATACAGATGTAAAATGCCATTACGCCGCTAGAATGCGGAGGGAAAATTTGCCAAGGGATTTGGCGGACGGAAACCTGGCGGCCAGAATTTCCCTCTCCGCGATGTGTATAGGAAATTGAGGAAACATGTGTAAGAAGAAACGCTCTTTAAAAAAAGAAAGAAAACTACTGAAATGTTCCAGATTTTAAATTATTGCGAAAAATCCAAGAAGAAACGTTTTATCAAAGGACGTTTCTTCTTGGATTTTCGAAATAATTTTAAAAACGGATTTTCGTAGTTTTTTTTTTTTTCCCTCTGAAAATAACTAATCCATGAATTAATTTACTTGCGCCAAAAAATATTTTCTTTCTTTTAGAGTTTAATCACTTGCGCTAAGACTAAACTTCACAGTGCGGGCCGTGCGCACTAGCCAACGCCGCTCCGCATCTGCGAGTGCAATCCAGAGCTGTAACTCGAGAAATAACATCTGTTGTTAGGCGATGTTGCCGTTATTCATTTTTGCGATAAATGCTTATCGACGTGGTGTTCACGTTGCTCGCGGTTTGAGACAAAAGCATCTTGACGTGCGTGGCACGTCTTTTTAGCGCAAGTGGTTAAAGAAATTTTAAACGATATTTATTTTATGAACTCTTGATAACGTGACCTTCGAACTTCGACACAGGTTTCGAGCTTTGGCAACAGATATATCAGACATGCACAGCTGTTTTCCCTCTATGATGGAACGGAGCCACAGCCACGTCTGTTGCAGAGAGGTTTTCCTTCTTTACAATACATATTCTTTGATTGTAACCTCCATGGTACCGTTTATACTAGGATTAAACCCATTTTGTTTTATACGAGAACAGGTACTTTCTTTAGTTCATGCACTGCACATGCGATTCTCGAGAATATTGGAAACCAAAAGTTGCGGGAAAGTTGCTTTGCCTTTCTAAAAGACAATCAAATTGGAGCTGCGAAAATTGGCTCTATACCAGCTACTCGAATGACACTCACGTGATACATAATTCGCCAAAAAAAGTTACCTCTTCCGACGTCGGCGCAAAAAAAATCGTTTTTTGGCGGGATCGTTGTATGAAACTTCCCTGACTTTTCCAGATTTTGACAAAAATACTTAAATTCCCTGACTTTTCCCTGAATATTTTGGTCAATTTTCGAATTCCCTGACTTTTCCCGGTTCTCCTGGTTTTCCAGGTAGTGTGGCAACTCTGATCACTGCAGTGACTATTAAATTTTTAAGAGCAGAAAAGGTGAAAATTCTGCTGTGCTCTCCCCAGATTAGAACCTTTAATTCTTCAATTTGTTATCTGGATATGGTAACCACTCACACTATGATAATCCACACAGGGAAAGTTTTTTACATTTTTTTTAATGCATGCCATATTTATGGGCCACTCAACAGAACAAATATATATATACGAGGGCTATCCAGAAAGTAGATTACGTTTTGGAATAAAAAAATAAACAAAGTATAGGAAACAAATTTTATTATATACAGATGAAAGCCACACTCAAATACTACTTTTCTACATAGTCACCATACAAATTAAGGCATTTATCGTAGCGATGTACGAGCTTGGAAATTCCTTCGTCGAAAAATTCGGTCGCCTGCGCCTTCAACCACTTCGTTACCTCTTCTTGCCTTCCATCTTGCACAAAACTTGTGGTAACCAAGCTTTTCGCTGATGATTTCGTGCAACAAACTTCGCGAAATTTGTGGAAAACTCAAAGAAAGTTCCGTTATTGTGAAATTTCGATTTTCACGGACTTTAGCATCGACTTTTTCGAGAAGTTCGGCGGTCACTATGCTGGGTCTCCCACTTCGATCTTCGTCGTGAACATTGGTCGTGAACATTGGTTCGGCCATTTTGAAATCTTATGACCCACTGACGCACTCCACCTTCAGTGATAATGTTGTCCCCATACACTTCACGAAAGCTGCCGATAGATTTCTATCGGTTTTACAGTTTTTTGCAGTCAGAAACCTTATTACTGAGCGCACCTCGCAGCTCGCGGGATTTTCAATTAACGCAGACATTTCAAACCGTCACAGTATCTGAACGGAGCACAGCACGAAACTCTCACTAGCACGGCTAGATGCAGACTGAGCTGCGCAACGCTCTGACCCCAAGATGGCCGCGCTAGCCCCGCCCCTAGCGGACACAGACGGAAACGTAATCTACTTCCTGGATGGCCCTCGTATATATATAAGGGTTTTAGTTTTTATTGGTTTCATTTTGAATATGGCAAAGCAATCAAGGGCTGTCTGCCTAAGAGAAAGGATGCTTTTGTGTAGAACTTTCTAACAGAAACTGGCTCGACTACGTGTTACACGTGGAGAATACCACGAAAACATCCATACAGCCAAGCCCATTCGTTAAGATTTGGACCCCTGGACCTAATTATCAGTGTTCAATGACTGCTCAGGTTCTAGTGTGCTCAGAGTTTTAAAAATGTCTTAAATAATTTCAGTAGAACTTTCATAAATAACTCGTGGAAAGCAATATTTTGAAGATAACTGAGCTTGAAAAAAAATTATCACCAAATTTAGCAATACAGTACCAATTCTAGAACTTTTTAAAGTTAGTATGCACATCCATTTTTGTAATGTATTTGATCAGGAAAAATATTTTACAAGACTTAACATAAAAAAAATAGTTATTATTCTATGTCACTTCAAAATAGTGCAAAATATCAATTAATACCTTTAACTGTTCTTGCTGAGAATAACTCTCAGCTAATTTAGTCACTCTATCATAATCTGATCTGATCCTTTCAAATAGTGTCTTCATTTCAACATACTTACACCTGTAATAAACATCCATGAATTAAAGATAAATTCATTCTAAAAATACTCGATCTATAATTTGCCATTTAAAAACCTGACATAACAATTTAAAATAATTTGATAGTATATCAACTTGCCACACTCAGAAATGAGGAAAATTTTTCCAAAGACAAAAAATAATTATTAAACAATCAAACAAAAAGGAAATTCTTTACTGAAATAACAAACTATGTGTACTATCTAACTGATATCTGAAAAAAAGCTATCTATAAATTATAAATGCAATTAGTATAAAAATACTCATACAATTACAGAAATATCTTTATTTGGTATATTTTATAAACAAATAACAACTTAATATGTTTTCAAACAATTATTAGCAACATAATTTAATATGTTTTCATGCAATTATTAACGACAGAATTTAATATGTTTTCATACAATTATTAACAACAGTAACAAATTTTGCCTTCTTTAAGAAAGAAACTTTATAATTTGGCTCATAGGAATTTTTACTAAGGCTACTTTTGATAATAAATTTTTTCCAGTGTATCATCATTTATACTAAATTCGAAAGTTAAGCTTTGTTTTAATAAAATTATTGAAAATTCTCTCAAACCTGGCACTCTATGGGAAATTATCAAAATGAATAATGTTATTTTAGACACTCCAATATAGTACTATAAAATTCCACTGGCACTTTTTAGTTTTCTGATTAGGTTGCTACAAACATCAGTTCTTATTGATCCTGTTGTTTTATTTTAAGTTTTCTAATTGTAAACTACAAAACTGCGATTTCAATTTATCTGTTGAAAAATTATTAACGACTAAAGACATGCTGTTCTGTTAAATTTTGGCCTGATTCTATCACACGTTGATGAAGCTGAACTCCAATTATATTAATTAAGTTATTTATTATACTTACGACTATTTCCTACACGTGCTTAAGGCTTAATCTGAGTAAAAAAAAAAATAAATTTCCTTATATACTTAAGACTTATCCAGAGCTGGTGCCAGATATTTTGTGGCTAAATGCAATCTCTGTGGATCAAAATTCAGCTGCTAAGAGCCTCCCTAAATTCTATTAATTTTGCCTCCCAGTGATATCCCTTAATTCTAAAGTTTTTGCTATCCTTTAATTTTGTTGCTCAGTACTTCTCTAAACTCTAAAAAATTTACCTTCCCTAAATTCTGTCACCAGTGTAGCTGCACCAGCTCTGGGACCAGTCACGGCCTTAACTGAATAACGAATCAGTTATTCTCAATTTAAACAGCATTAATCTTTCGGTCTAAGGATATAATTTACAACATCTGCCTTTTGCATAAGGAAAGAAATTTCTAATAAATAATTTCTTATTAAAAACTCAGAACTTTGCAATGGAGTTAGATGAAGTCTGTGATCATAGTCAAGTGTAGACAACATAAAAGGTTACCCTGTTCTTTGGCATTCAATTACTAACATTAAAACCTAAAAAAAAAAAAAAACTAAAACTAAAACTGTTTAGGTATTGTCACGCCGTGGTGGTGAAAACAAAATAAATAATTATTCGCCACTTTGGCGTCGGTGCCAAAGTTAAGAATTGGAAATCTCCCCATGCTTTATTGTGAAAAAATATCAAATGCACAAACATAATAAATAAATTTAAAAAAAAAAAAAAAATCTAAAGGAAAAAAGTTACTGGCCACCTGAAGGTCCAGATTTTAGATCATTTCAGATATTGAACCATCTGGATTTTGGGCTTTCGGGTACTTCTTAAAGGACTGAATTTCATGAAAATGCAGGATGGAAAATTGCAAACAAGGTGTTAAAATGCAGGTTGAACATTGGTTTGAAAATAGCCGCATCTCATTAAGAACAGCTATTCTCTTTACTTATTGTTGGCCAATGCAAAATGCCAAAACTTTGATTGATACTGAACTTGTGCAAGTCTCTCATGTGTTTTTTTTTTTTTTTTTTTTTTTTAGTAAAATCAGACTGCTGTTTACACAAGAAAACACAAAAAAAAAAAAAAAAAACTTACAAAGATTTCTTTAAAAGGTAACCAATTTGGTTTATTACCAGTGTTTCCAGCATTTTATAATTTTATTGATTAATTGTTCTTTAATAACATTCTCACTGTGTCGCAATTTTTGCCACATTAGCTTGTCAAAAAAAAAAAAAAAAAAAAAAAAGTTGTCAATGAGTTCACAAATGCTCTCTAAAGTCGCTAATAAATTTACAACTTTTCGTTTGGGGTACGAATAATCAGAAAGTACCATAATTAAAAAAGGAGATCTGGCTACTACTGAACTACAGGCTTAGTTTATTTAAAACTTTAATCACCAATTATCCTCTCTCCTTTTTAAAATATATACGAATATTCAGTTACTGTCTTGTTTTACTGTAGCTAATGTTCATTACTGTAAAGCTATTTGTTCACATTATACTCTCTTCTTCCATTTCTTTCCTTTCAATTTTTGCTTTAACCATTTCAGTCCCAGGGGATATCGAAAAAATACTGTCAAAGAATTCTAAACAGCACAACTGCGCTTTCTCTAAATGAGTACGAAAAGACCCAAGCAGTGCGACAGCGCTTTATTTTACATTGATGTACACATGATTTAAATCAAGTGCCCACATTATCAACATCAAGTACACTGTCAGTTATCCACAGTGTTCGAAAAGTACTGGGTTTTCTCAACATAAAATCTCAACAGTGCGATCGCACCGCTGGGGACTCAAATGGTTAAATCAATTTTATTATTATTATTAGCGCATAATGTGGCAGACAATGTTTAAAATTCTGCTTTAATAGAAATTTAATTTTTGAACAGATACTTTGAAATATTTCAACATTTTGTACAAGAATTAGCATCAAGGCTTTTTCCTCATTGGCTCAGCACCCATGAAGCAGCTGAGCAAAATCACGAATATTTTAAGTTTCTCATACCAACTTGTTAAAAAATCAAAATAGTAACCTTGTAAAATATACAACAAAATCAGACCACTTTAAATGTGTATATTTAATAAATCAGACTCTGACTATATTTTTTAGTACTTGAAAATTTTTAGTAAGAAATTTTGCATTTTGAAATAGAATCAAATATTTCTTGGATACTATTACTAATTTCAAAGCGAAAATTCACAGAAGTTTTCACAGAAGATTGCTTTTAATTTTATCAGTTTCATTCCCACATGGGATATTATTTCATTGAGAATTATTTTTTAGTTATCTTAATTCAGAAAAATAGTTCCCAGTTTAAAATGAATAAACATTTAGAAACATTTTATCACTCTAACATTATATTCAGCTTAAATCTTTTTCATAGCTTCGATTGACTGAATACCTTTCTTGCTCTCGATGATATTGTTCAGTTTTCAGTTTCTCTCGCACAGCCCTAAGTTCTTCCTGCAGTTTTTGAATAGCATGACCATCTGAAGTCTGGACTTGTTCAAGCTTTACTTGATATTCATCAACTTGTTGCTGTAAAGTTTCACTCCTAGCAAAATTAAATTAATCAAATTTATCTGATAAACTTGAAGACTGTCAAGAACAAATCAGAATCTAAAGCAACATTATTAATCTTCACAAAATAATGGCTTTTACCAGCTACAATATGATCCCACTTTTAATAAAAGTTTAACTGTTGATACATGCATCTATTTATAAGTAGCATAATTTAAGAAGAATCTTCCTTATTTTATATTCAGTATACTCCAAAACATACTTATTAACTGAAATGCTCAAACCATTTCTATATTTCTAATTTCATTATATAAAACTAATTTCAGAAATAAAACACTAAAATATTATACTACCTTTTCTAATTTATAAACACACAAAGAAATGAGCACAGTATTATATAAAAAACTAGTCGTATCAGTAAAAATGAAGTAAACATTTATCCTGTCACAAGGCAACTGGCATTTAGAGGCCTTGGACGTGCAAGGTGACAAAAATTGTAATTTGCATAATTTATCAGTTATCATTAAATCTACAAGGTTTAATTTATGGCTGAAGAGGAGAACTTTGCTTAAATCTTCAAACAGCAACCACAACAAAAGATACAATTATTCCAGATGTTCTAATTAAAGAAAACTTTTTTATCTCATTATCTCAAAAGATCAGTACTGAGTATATATTTACTTATAGAGTCAAATCTCAATTATGGGGGGAGAGGGCAAAATAGACCAACTGAGCAATGCCTATAAAGTTTCCTTATTGCAAAACAATAGAAAAATTACTATTACAAACTGTCAGCAATAAAAGCAAAGGGAAAAAAGTGTGTGAATTAACAGTTTCCTTTTGACTCCTATAAAATACAATGTAAACAAAAACTAACTTCCTTATTGTGAAGTGAGGAAGAAATTAGAGACAGGGAAAGGAAGAAACAATGACAAAAAGAGAATGCTCCAATATGCTTGAGAGTAATTTGATACTGATTTGATTTAGGTAACTGAATAAATTCGTCTCCAGATTAAGTTACTTGAAAATACACTCTAACTGTTAACAGCATTTTTTTTTTTTTTTTTTTTTTTTTTGTTATTTATAGTTGGGGTTACTCCTCTTTCATGCACTTTTTAACTGCCTTCTGATTAAATATGATTTAGAGTTATCATGAACATCTTTCCCAATTAATTGGGAGTTGACTGTAAACAAACAAAGTTAGCAAATATTTTCATACAAAAAAATCAGATCTGTATGATCATTTTTTATATTAAATTACTATTTTATAATTTTTCAGTTGAAAGAGAACACATGACTTAAACCAAATTTTGAAAATTCCATTACTCATACATTGGAAGTGAAAACTATCCTTCCTTACTTTAATTAAATCAGATGCTAATTGTGCTAATCGCAAAAATGACATTCTATCAACAAAATGACATTCTATCAAAAGTTCTATCAACTCTTATTCAGATGTAACATGTGGGTTCACAATATGACATGTAACTGATCACATTTTGACTATGTAAGGAAGTACTGTTGAGCATCTGGCAATGTAAAAGTAGCATGGCACGATCTGTGGATGCACAAACCAATTATTCAGCAAGATCAGTAAAGGTAATTTTAATCATGGTGCAAATAGCATTCCTCCCAGGCAATGGGATAGCTATTCAAAACATACAAAATCAATTTTGAAGCATGAAAAAGAGTATACAAAAAGCAAAAATGTTACTTTTGCCAGGATGCATATTTCAACCAATTTATGTTACTGATTTTAATTGAAGTTAATAATAAAAGTACACAGGGTATGCATTTTTATCAGTGGAACAGAAACATCAATTTTCATGGTAAGAGAGCTACAACAGTTAAGCGAACTCCACAAAATATGATAAAAACACAGATATTATAAATGTAACATGATTTTTGATGTAACTTCAAAACAAAAGCCAATCTTAGAAAATGAATTGCATGGTTATGTCCACGGGGTGAAGTTGGCAAGGAAAAGCTTTTTTGATTTCTTTGTTTTTATTATCTAGAATCTTCAAAATACCAGCAAACCCCTACTAATGAACGTTAAAATGTAATACCATTAATTTTCCTCTGTCTAAATTAAACCTGTCTTAAAACATAAACTGCATAGTAAAATTTAGTTAGAAAAGCTTATTTCATCTCTAACAGAAAAGATATGAACATCTGTAAAACAGTATTATATAACAAATTATATTTTTTTTATTATTATATAAAGATTTAAATATTAACAGGCAGGTAGAAAAATATTTTATACATACTCAACATTCCCCTAACCTACTATATTAAGATACATCTTCATGAACATTATTATTAACATATTACTGTATTTGAAAATGAAAAGTTTAAAAAAATTATTACCTCTCTTTATATTTTTCAATAAGAGAACGTAACATTTCCAGTTCATTTTGATGAATATCAAATTTTAATTTCCAAGCCTCTTCCTGCTCTTGCCCAGATTCAAGTTTCATCCGATTAGTTGTATCTTCACACTTTTCATTTGACTCCTAAATTGATTCAATGTAAGAAAAACCATAAAAAAGCACATGATACCTCAAAAAATAAAAATGCACACAAATATATATATATATATATGCAAAAAAGAGGAATGTTTAAAAGCTATTGCTAAAAAGTATATTTGACACTGTAGTTCCTGTGTAAAATAGTTACATCATGTAAAAACAACTAACAATACTAAAGAAGTTATCGCACAAAAACTTAATGTAAAAATTACAAAACGAGATAACTTCAAAATCAAAAAGGGATGAGAAAAAACTAATAAATTTTAATAATTTTTTAAAAAATGCTCACAAATAATTAAAAATATTTCAAATACACAGTAAATATGTATATAGAATTGCAACAAATGGTAAATTAGCCCGAGGTTAAGTCGGACTTATCAAGGGAAAAGCGGCTCAAAACTCGAATTAAGCTAATACCGTTAGCACGTTTTGTCAAATAGAGACTGAAGCGTAATTTCATTAATAGAAAAATCAAACTTAATTATCTTAATAAAGTAAGTCTCAAATGTATTATTTCTTTTTCCGATGCGCTTTTAATTTAAATTGCAAATGTAAAACTTACTATTAAGCAAGAAAAAACTATACAAGAAAGCCTAGTTTGGCAAATGTACAATTAACATAAATAGCTAAAAAGCTAAAAAGCTATTAGTCCAAAAATTACACAATTTCAAGGCAGATGCCTACTAGCATGAAGAATATAAACTTTTTAAAGGAGAAGAATTAGAAGAAACATAATAATAACGTATTGAAATGGGTCTCGCAAAGACCAAAGAAACACTATCCTAAAGACCAAAGAAAACACTATCTTTAAGCAAGTACAGGGTATTCCTATCGGCGGAAACTGCTCGACTGAAATCTGTGAGCTATTCCTTTTCACGCAGGAATTTAAATCTGTACGTTCACTTAATTATGAAGAACAAAAGTATTACCAACACATCTTTCAATATATTGATGATGTTATGCCTTTAACAAACTAGAAAATGCAAATATTTACCCTACTTGCCTCAAACTTAATGCCACTAATGCAATTCAAAATGATATAGTTTACCTAGATCTTCAAATTCTAAATTACAGTCTAATTAAAATATTTGATAAGTGCAGAGACTTCAATTTTCATATATTAAAACTTACTTACAGGAATCCTAACATTTCTAAAAAGGTCATTCATTATCAATACAATCAATGCACAACTTCTTAGAATTAAAAGAATCTGTAATAACGCAAAACTCCTACAAGAGGAAGTGCTCTACTTCATTAAAATCTTGCAAAGCAATTTTATTCTAAAAGCAATCATTAAAAATTCCTTAAAAAAAGCTGGCATTTACCTTTTAGTTTAGATTATTTGAATTAGATAATGAAATTTTTTACTTAAATCCCAAAAGAAGGTAGATGATAGATGGCTAGTTCACATGATCTAATGTAAAAATGTAACATAGTTTTCTAATACTGCCTCAATTTTTTCTCTCTGAAATTGGCACAGACATTAAGTTAAATTATTAAATTTATTATTTAATATCACTGTTTTCTGGCCATACCTATTCTTTTATTAATTTAAGGGCCATTTTCATTTCAAACTCGCTTGTTCGCACTCTAGTGAGAAGAATTACGACTTTTTAATAAAAAATTTCCAATTTCTGCAATTTCAACTGCTTTCGGCCAAATAAACACTTACTTAGATGTTAGCCATTTTGTTTTTGCCTTCACATTTTTTCACGACTCAGTTTTGTACAAGATGCCATTTTGTTAGAATAGCCTCCATCCTTCACCTTCGAAAACCCCCCATTTAAGCAGAAAAGTTTTCCCCCTTTGGCCATTAAGTACCATTGGCTATTGTTTCTTTACATTTGTTTCCCCCCTTCTACGAAGCTTCACCTTATTAGAGAATTTTAACTACTTTTCTTTTCTGGTAGCACTCCTTTGGAATTCTTCTATTTATGGCAACCCTTTGCAGCAATTTTTGCTCGCTTAAAGTTAGTTAGGCCACCGCTATGGACGCAGGTATATTTTATATTTTTCTTATTCTTATATTTTACTTTAGTCTTTGCAAGACCCATTTCGATACATTATTATTATTTTCTTCCAATTCTTCTCCTTAAAAAAGTTTATATTCTTCATGCTAGTAGGTATCTCCCCTAAAATTGTGTAATTTTTGGAATAATAGCTTTTTAGCTATTTATGTTAATTGTACAGTTGCCTAACTAGTCTTTCTTGTACAGTTTTTTCTTGCTTAATAGTAAGTTTTACATTTACAATTTAAACTGCAAGTGCATCAGGAAAAGAAACAATACAATTGAGACTTACTTTATTAAGATAAGTAAGCTCGATTTTTTTATTAATGAAATTACGCTTTCAGTCTTAATTGCTAACGTTTGACGAAACGCAGAAACGCTATTTGCTTAATTCGAGTTTTGAGCCGCTTTTTCCTTGATAACTCCGACTTAAACCTCGGGTTGGGCTAATTTACCATTTGTTGCAATTCTGTGTACATATTTACTGTGTATTTGAAATGTTTTTAATTATTTGCAAGCATATTTTTAAAATTATTAAAAATTTTTATGTTAAAATTTATTAGTTTTTTCTCATTCCTTTTTGGTTTTAAAGTTATCTCGTTTTGTAATTTTTACATTAAGTTTTTACACGATAACTTAGACTTCTTTAGTATTGTTAGTTGTTTTTACATAATGTAACTATTTTACAGAGGAACTACAGTGTCAAATGTACTTTTTAGCAATAGCTTTTAAACATTCCTCTTCTTTGCAAATATTTTTTAAATTTTCAGCTCAATGTGCAAAATTCTTGACCACTAAGGTATCTCTTGTTCATGTTATCTTTCTACTTTCATATATATATAGTACTATTGTTCTTATAATAATACTATATTATTGTACCATATATAACACTATTTATAGTATTATATATAGTGTTATATATAGTACAATAATACTATAGTATAATTAATTAAAGAACAACATGACCATATAACTACAGAAATTATACTACAGGAATTATATTCTAGAGAATAAATTTTGAGTTAAAATATCATAGTAAATATGCAATTACACTATATTAAATATGTATTAAGCACAGTAGCAAACACACATTTTGGTTGGAGGGGGGGGGAACAATTGTATGATACAGAATTCTTGAATTTTTTCCTTTTATCTGGATTCTGTCAGGTTCAGCTGTATCGTTTACACATACAGGGAAATAACATGTGAGTAGATGAAATATCATAAAAATGAGATAATATGTACTAATTAAAAAAGAGAGAGAGAGAGTAAAAAAAGAAAGAAAGGAAAACTTATTCAAACCTTATGCTTTTCATCTTCTCTGTATTCCCCAAGAAATTTCATCACTTTATCATATTCAGCTTTTAGCTCTTCATATTCTGCTTGCACACTTGACAAGCACTGGCTAAAAAGAAAGAAACTATCTTCAGGTGTTATAATGATCAAAATCAGATGAGGAAAACATTTTTTATACCACAGAAAATTGATTCTTCTCTTATCTGAATACTAGTAAGTGCAAATTAGTTACCTGAAGACTACAAAGTGCAAATTAGTTACATGAATAGTACTAAGTGCTTATAATGCTTATCAAAAATGCAAAAAGTTAAAGCTGAATGGTCAACCAGTTAAATTACATAAGTGGAAACTACCAAAATCTTCAAAATGAATAACTTTATTTATTAATTTTTATCCAAAGATTAGGCAATGTTAAATTGGAAGTTAAACTGGAATATCTTAACCCACAGGTCTCAAACTGATGGCTCCCAAAGCAATTTCCCATAAATTTATTAACATTATTATAATAAGAATTTGAAGAAAAAGTTTGAGATTTTAACGATTTGGTGTCCAAATTTACATTATTTTCATTACCATTTTTAAAAAAATTAGTACTGCCTCAGTAAATCTACAAATGCAGCTAATTAATTCACATTATGATATAAATCTTATTGAAATTTTGAAAAAACATATTTCATTAACATAAAATACATTTTCATATTTCCCAAAACATATAATAACTTTCAAGTCCAAATTTTTGAAATAAGAATAATAATTTTATTTGAGAGTACATTTATACTTGAACAGTTTTTTCCACAGCTAAAAATCAATAAGGAAAGAACCACGCTGATTGATTACAATATACAGTTCATGAATATAGTTTCTACAATTTTTTTTTTTTTTTTTTGAAAATTACAAACTTTACAAAAATCAAAAAGACATCAGGTGAGTAGCTGAAAGTATTAAGAAATAAAGTTTATAATTATTTACATACAAATATATGTTTCTTTACAGTATGCATCATAGAAAAATTTAATACATAAAAGAGAATAGGTTGCCCTTATTTATTTTTAAATTTTGTCCCACTTGGAAAGTTTTTGTAACGTATCTATTTTTAGTTTAAGTAAGTTACTTATTAGTTAATTCAATTAAGAATTATTTAAAATATCCTTTAATTCAAACAATCTCAGAAATTCATAAAGAAAATAACAAATGAGACACACACTGAAAGTAAACAAATCGAAGCAAGACCTTAGAACATAGTAAAGGATGAGGGTACATCTGCTATGGAGGAGATGGATATGTTATTGTCATCTGGCTCTAATCTTAGAAGGAGATAAAAGCAAGTAATACAATTACTTCTTCCTTAATGTAATTAATTAAACAATTTTATTAATTTTCTTTTAAATTTATTCAACTTGGAGGGGGGAAAGGGCTGGTTAGAGAAAATTTTAGCACTGCTGTTTGCAATGGATGGTTTATAATTTTTTCTTTCTTTCTGCTAATTTGAGAAGAATGATATCATTCTTTGAAATATATCTTACAATTACATTTCTTTTAAATTTTAAAATGCATCTGAAGTTATATATATTTACAGGAATTAGATATCCAGTAATATTTTCACAGATAATTATTCTGGAAATGTGTAGTGGTGTTGACTCAAATGCACTGGAAAAGAAATTTGCATAATAATAAAAAGATGTCACAATTTTTATTGCTAACACTAATGCAGAAACATTTTAATTTTGAGGTATCAATTTTGTTTTTTATTTATATTTGTTGTTTATTTATGACTATTTATAATTATTATTGGTTCAATAAATAAGGTCTTATAATACGCTTGGACAGGCACAGACATAGATGCTTAATACCTTGTTTCAGTGGAACTGCTTTGTGCAGATTTCAATGCATCTTGTAAAATAATGACTTCTTGTTGCAACCTTTGAATTATCTCCTCATCTGCAGATTTTGTTTCTTTGTGAGCATTTTGACATTCTTCAGTTTGTTTTTTCAATACCTCACAGCTATTGAGAAAAACTGTGATTTAAATATAAACAGCAATCCACATCTGATAATATCCTATTTAATATAATCATAGATATAAAAGTACACACAAGCAAAAAAAAAAAAAAAAGTTTTCTTGCCAAAGAACTTGTAAAGCTTCCTTTGAGTGCTAATTATACTGATGTATAGGGAAAGATTAAAAAATGCACCTAGCTTTGAACTTACGGATATACAGATTTTTAGAGTTTAGCAGATTTCAAGTCATTAATGAAAATCCCTTAGATTTAAAATAAAAAAAATGAGGCATACAGACATTTATAAAGAAATATACATAGAGAATTAATTTAAAATTTTTTTGTGGAGGAATATCGACTAAATATAATTCTATAAATAAAAGAAATAAAGATAAAATGGATACTTTTTCTTCTTTTTAAAATCTAAAATATTTGCTTGAAAGATATTTGTTTTAACATTACGATATTCTAGCCCCTTTCCCCATCCCACCAAATTACACAAAATCACTACTTCTCATTCAGTTACACAATTTTGTTGTAAATTCACTTTTTCACTATTACTTACATGAAAATCATGAAGTAATTTAGAAATTGTCATTCTTATAGGATAATTATTATTATTATTTTAATTTTGATCACAATAAAAATAAAAAAATTCAACTACAGCAGATCTTACTCAAGTTAAGGAGTTTAAGTTTACTCAAGTTAAGGATGTAAGTTTGGTGGTTTGGGAGAAAATTTGGCAACAGCTAAATAAGATACACTCTACAAAAGATAATCACTTCCATCAATACAGAAGGAGGGAACTTCTTGCTTATGAAATGCCAAAGACATCCACATACCTCAAGTGAATTGCAGTTTTAATGCAGAGTCGTGTAACATTAGTTATTTAATTCAGCTTGTTCCCTTCAATAAAATTTTCATTTTTTAAAAAATCCTTTATGACCAACAGGCAGCTTCCATGACTCGTGTTTTCATTTGCTGGGACATCATTTGCTATGCACTTTTCATTTTTAATTCAAAACTTTAAGGTTTCGTGGTCTTATTAATTTCAAATTTCGCTGCTGACATTTAAATAGTGCTGCGAATCTTTAATGTTCAATCATATTAGTTCATTCTGCAACAACTAAAATATTCAGCTGACAAATGATAAGTTTAAAAACATACAGCTATATGAAATGCCCAGAGCAAAGAAATATACTCACTGAAAAAGCAAAAAGCAAAACTTTTTTTATTACAGATGGATGAATCTACAGATATCCAAAACAATCATGATCTTACTTATGCATAATATACTAGCCATGATAAAGATATGGCAGTCTTTCAAAAATATCTAAGCACATTATCAGCAGTAAAATTTCCAAAGTTTTAAATGATTTTATTGACGACAAAATGACTTGAATGGTAAAACAAGCATGGAATAAAGATGATATGCTGATAGCATGGAATGAAGTGGTGATGCTGTTTATTTTATTATTAATTAATTTACTTTTAACCAATAAAAATTCAGGTTTAGTGACAGGCAGAAATTCAAGTCTAAATTAAGCATATGGGTTTAAAATTGTGAACATTAAGCCAGACAATGACTTATTTTTAACATGATGTTTTAATCATACCTGAAGCCTAGACTTACAAAATGACAGCAAAGCTTAATGAAGTTATATATTGATCTGCTAAAATTATTAACTATATAAAAAGAAATGTTTAAACACGAGACCATTAAAAACACTTCAAAATAACAAAAATTCTGATCACCAAAATCTTATCAACACTTGCAAGTTCATTGACTGACCTGAGTGAAGTTCTCTAGGAGTTATAGTGAAAGCCTTGATGACTTTTGGATACTATTTGGGGTTGTATTATGGACTAGTTAATGGCCTGGTATGAAACAGTGGCGATCTGAGAACTTGTTTGATAAGAGGAAAAATGAAATAGGAGCATAACAAGAGAGAGAAGAAATCATGGTTATCATAAATGGTGATAATGACAAAAATATCTACAAGTTTTATTTTGAGAAATACATAAATTAATTTACTATGAGTTTGTTATGAGAAGTAAATCACTCTGATGACACTTTCCAAAGCATCCAATCTAGAAGCACTGGGCCCTTTTCACAATAATATTAAGCTCTCAAATGACTGTAATGAGCTTTAGCCATAGCACATGCAAAACAACTGATATTTTTATTAGCATGCAGCTGTGATAGCTTATATCAAGAAGTTGTAACTTTTTAACTCTGTAAGAAAGAATAAAGAATCTTCTATTTGAGTTATTCAGTGTGTGACTTCAGAGCACTGGCATGATCAATGAGTAACTGGACAATGCTGATCATGGAAATTGATTACAAGAATACTGCCATGATCAAGATGCAAACCTGAATTATTTACAAGATATGTGACTCAAACACTAGTGGAATTGCTTCTGACTGGGCATCCACATCCTGTTACTTTTAGGATAAGAAATAAATATCCAGGATGACATATCGTGACGATCAATTTTTTTTACGTAAACTTGAAGCTGAATTTTAAACTCCAAGATTCATACAACAATATTTAACACTTGTTGCAAAATTGAATCAATTAATAATTTAAAAAAACTCAAGACAAGCTTAGTAAGACTACAACAGTATACAGTAAAACATTTCATCACATTCAGATTACATTAATCTAGTAGATAGTCTCTATTCACAAAATTCAATTCCACATAAGCTCACTTGAAGATACTACTATTGTTTGAAAAGCATTAAGTTGAACATAATACCCAACACAAAAATTACAAACTGTGATCATTTATGCTGAACATAAAGTGAGTTCTTTAACAAACTGTGATTATTTATGCTGAACATAAAGTCAGTTCCTTTCACGAAGAAAAACATTCACTGCTAAATTATCATTAGACAAGAGATTTAGAATTTTTTTTTAATTCTGTAATTATTTAAAAGTCTAAATTTACATGAAACACAAATGAAATTTCTTTGTTTTTCAATCACAAATCTTTGCTAAATAGTATTTTTTGCCATGACTGGACTTAGGAAAAAAGCAAGAACCAACAGCAATCCCTAATTATCTTAATTATCTCTGTTTGGCTATCACATCAGTTCATCCTATAATTTTTTAATTAATGGATAGAAAAGAGTAAAAAAAGTCTCACTAATAAACTATATGGATCTTATAATTGCAGAATTAAACTGGTTCATTTTAAAACACAAAATATTAGTCAGAATGGTGTTTAATGCTGAGATATATATTTTTTATTTAATAATAGATATATTTATAAATACTTAACAAGTGCATACATTTATACACATTTGGCATGTATATCTGACAATAAGTATTTTCCTTATATATTAATATCTTCCAATAATTTTCCCTGTTCAGCTGATTTATACTGTGAATTAAAATGCATAAATATTTTTCATAATACTTTTTTACTTACACCAATATTATTAAAATCAATTCAGTAATAGAATAATCAATTTTTCTCTAAGTAATAATATTTTTTTTTTTTGCTTATCAGAATGAAATATGTTTATGGAAATCAAGGAAATTAATGACACTGGCCAGAGGATATTGTGAATATGCTACATTCCAGAGACTGATAATTAATTCAAATGCAATTTTTAACTTTTAGCATACCCCACCATATACATTAAATGAACTCTTACTTTTATTACTATACATTATTTCATTTCATAATCAATCTTTACACTAATTTAAGATATAAACTTTGAAAAAGTACTAATGAACAAATCTGTTGACTAGGCCTTTGTCTTACTTTAAAAGAAAAAAAGTATTTACCAAGCAGGAGTCTTACAAGGGTCAACAATGGTAATATGGGATACTAAGGTGGTCTGATTGGTTACTTTAATCTCTAAATGATCTCAGTTATTACGGCCAAAGGGGCATTTTTTTAACATTTTGTGTGTTACTTTTATTTATTAAATATCATGTTTTTCACACTTAAACCATAAAATTTAATTCAACAGCAATATTGAAAAAAAAAAAAAAAAAAAAAAAAAAAAAAAAAAAAAAAAAAAAAAAAAAGAAAGAAAGAAGAAAGAAACCTTGTGCATAAAATATAGGTGCTTCAATATGCTCGCGATGTTAATGTTAATGGAATGTGTTGAAACTGCTGAGTTTGTTAATCAAAAATTTGTTAAAGTTTTACAAAATGTAAATAGAGAATAAAACAAATTCCAAATTTGAGATTTCAGATTTCCATATTCAAGTGGAGGACTATGTTATTCAAAATTTTATGTCGCTGGGTACTGTTGTTTCTTCACAATGTGAGAAACATATATACATTTATGCAGAATCTTCATCATTTAATTTCTTTAAATATATATAATGCAGGGCTCTAATATTTGGTGGCAACAACTTGAAAAGTGAAATGCCATTTATAGTGAACCAATGCAAAATGCCAAAATGAAATTAATAGCCCTTCTTAACTAACACTCCTTTGAGCTAAAAAAAAGAGAAAAAAATCATGAACCAGGTTGCTCAATGTGAATAAGTGTTATATTTCCATAAAAAGAAGCTCAGATTAAGATGCACATCTAAAACGCCTGCAAAGCTGCTAATCTACATTTAACCCGTGAAACTGGACTTAACATCCAATATGAGCTACCTGAAGTATCTTAGTAAGTTATCGCCTATTTAATAAAAATATCTCTAAAACTACTCTTATTAAAAATAAGATTTTTAACAACCATAAAACAATTAATTAAAATTCATTTCTTCTCCAGCTTGTGATTCAAACTAAAGATAATGCACTAATAAGCTTGTGTTATTTGCAGCACTGAATTTAATGAAGCGCTAACTAGCCCAAAAATCTACATAATTAGGTAATACAAAAAGACACCTCGAAAGGCTTGTTTCCATTACTGCATACGAACACGTTGCGTCAATTGAAGACACACACTATGGCATCCGTACAAGCGTTTCCACTGCCGCGTATGTGTAGATTTTTTTCATTTTCCACCACTAGGTATCACTGTAATATTTTGT